GTTTTTTACTTTTGAAGTTAAATTAGGAAACATGTGTTGCATGTTTTGGATGACCCATCAACCTTTTTTTTTACAAAAGTGATAGATAGGAAATTCAAAATCAGTTCGTAACTTTATTACAGCAATAACTTGTATTCAAGAAGAAAAAAAACTTACTTAGTTCAATAAATTGATAACTATTTATTGGTGTAATTATTTTTCATTTTATTTTCTCACTTTTTTTTATAGAGTAAGCATAGAAGATGAAGAACAATATAGAAAAAAAATACTTTATAAAAATGAAAAGAAAAAGAATAAATGATCTTCTTAAGATAATGTCAAATAATGAGTAAGATATTCATTAAAACAATATAAGATCGCTGTGAATATAATGGAAAAGATAAACTTTCAACCTGTTTGAGTTATATTTTATTGCTATACTAAAATGATAGAAATTTTATTTAGTTATTTAAATAACTAATTACTAACTACTTTTAAATAACCTACTTTTATGAATATATTTAGATAACTAGCTATATGTAAACGTTATGATACTAGCTTATGTTTTTAATCATATGTATTTTATTAGAAAAACTTGTTACACATTATTATTATTACTATTATTATTATTATTATTATTATTATTATTATTATTATTATTATTATTATTATTATTATTCGCATTAGGATAAATAGTTATCCATTTAGTTATTTTTTAATATATATTTTTTATCATTGTTTTGGTAAATTTATCAAATAAAAGTATTGTCTCCTATTAAAAGTGTGTGAATATATACATATTCTTAACTTAAAACATTAAGATGCTTGTTTTAAACTTTCCTAAAAAGAATGATTCTTATATAAATTGGAATACTTTATAGTCAACTTGTGAACTTGATTAATTTAATCTAACTTGACTAAATTTCAGTAATTTGGGTTGAATCGCTATTTTGAATTAAATTTATATTCGTTTACCTATTTAAAATGAAATAGATTATTAAGTAAATTTTTTTTACTCAATTATTCTAATCTAACTTTTATCTTATTAAAAAGTTTTTGTTTGAATTTTTCACATTTATTTTGTGTTATTATTAAAGTTGGTCAATTAAATACAATACCTTTTTCTTTTAAAGACAAATAATTTATTGTTTTATGATTTTTTAATTTTTATTTCTGAAACTAAAACATGACAAAAGTATTTTGTGTTTTAAAATATATTACCATTTTAATTAATTAATCTGAATTCTAATGACTGAAAATAAGTTAAAATAACTAAAACTAAAAGAATTTTTTAGCTGATTAATTCCTTTGTAAAAGTATATTTCTGAAACTAAAACGTATATAAATTGTTGGCATAACTTTCATCCATTCGTACGTCGGATCAACGACCGTTTTCTTATACTTGCAACTAATTAAAACACATGGATATTTATGAAATGGAAGGAATACCTCACTATCAAACATCTAGAATAAGAGGAACATGGGAGTGCTAACTACGCTTCTCCCCTTTAATTTTGCTAAAAGTGGGACCTTTAGTTTCCTAAAATACTCTTACACGCTTCTTTCATCTGGTAAACGAGAAAATGAATTTATCTGTCTTATCCCACTTAATGATGCAACCGCGTTCTTTTCAGTTTGCCATACTTGACTTAAATATTCTGTTTACTCAGTATGAATTTCTTCATAAATACATCAACAATAATAAATATATATCTTAATTTTTAAATATTTTCAGCTGTTTAAAAGTGTGTATAAAATAAATTTTTTGTTTTTGGTAAATATTTTCTGCTCTTGTTACTTTATAGTCAACAGTTGATTAGATTTGCTGATTTGGAAAGTACTCAGAAGTTGCTTCTGTACTAGGTAGGGAAGTAAGTTCAAAAACCCGTTTAAAATAAGCTAAATACACTCATACTAGTTTGAAACAAACACGTATTGGTATGCAAAAAGGACAAGGGTATTTACTCGTGGTCCATATTTTGCATCAGGGTTTTTTTAATTGGGAAATATCATAAACGTTTCTGTGACCTTTCGAAGTTTGAAAACAACTTCAAATTTCTATGTATTTATTAGATCAGACCAGAGAGCAAATTCAAGCCACTCCAACATCAAACTTCTCACATAAAAAAATATACATCTCTCTCGTCAACAGCTATATCAGATTTCGTAAGAATGTCAAAAAAACTTTCGTACAATCCTTCCTTTAGGGTTCCTTTACTTCTCAATGATGAGGAGAAAGCCATTGCCTCTTCTGCCAAAAATACTGTATCCTTCTTTCGTACATGCCTTAATGGACTCAATACAATAGCAGGTTTAACCCCCTACAACTCATGCACTTACTTTACTTATCTAAGAGTATTTCAACACATTCAAAATATATAATCTGTTTCTTTTATAGTTGCCTCAACCTGGACGTTTATATGTGAAAACATAATCTTATACGAGGCTAATGTTTTGTTTGCGATTTTGGTTTAATTTCCAGGTGTTGGCATACTCTCGGTTCCTTATGCTCTTGCAACAGGAGGCTGGTTAAGCTTGGTTCTTCTGTTTTCTATTGCCGCTGCTGCATTTTACACGGGCCTTCTGATTAAAAGATGCATGGATAAGGACTCAAACATCAGAACCTACCCTGATATAGGTGAACTCGCATTTGGAAAGACAGGAAGACTGATAGTGTCAATATCCATGTACACTGAACTATATCTGGTTTCAATAGGATTCTTGATTCTAGAAGGTGATAACTTGAGTAACATATTCCCCATTGGAGAGGTTCACTTAGCAGGCTTAGCAATTGGTGGGAAGCAATTATTTGTGATTATGGTTGCCCTTTTCATTTTGCCCACGGTTTGGTTGGACAACTTGAGTCTACTCTCTTATGTATCTGCAAGTGGAGTCTTTGCTTCTGTTCTCATCATCCTTTCAATAACATGGACTGCAACATTTGATGGAGTTGGTTTTCATCATAAAGGAACTCTTGTCCGTTGGAATGGTCTCCCCACAGCTGTTAGCTTGTATGCCTTCTGTTATTGCGCTCATCCTGTCTTTCCCACACTGTACAATTCGATGACAAACAAACATCAGTTCTCTAACGTAAGTACTCACGTTAGATTATTGTCCTATATTCAAGTAAAGAGAGCACCTTTCACTTTCTTGCTTTTTCTATCTAATTAATGAATTTTACTTTTCTGAACATTGCAGGTCCTACTTGT